TGCTACTTACTGGTTCTGTTTTTTCTGAAGAATCCCAGCCAATACAATATTCAATAATACTATTTGCTTCAAAGTCTAACCTGTCTAATATTTATAGTTACACCAGCTGTTATGAGTGTTTGTGTAATGTACATAATTTTTTTGGAGATGATGGGCATGGGTATGTTTAGTGTCTTCATTGTGATGGTATCACAGGTATATGCATGTGTTCCGCCTCATCAGGATATATACATTAACTGTGGACCATATTTCATATATTCATTATACCTCAATAAAGCTTAAAAAGGAGTATAATAATCTTCCATGAGCCCATCACTCAGCTTCAAAATTTATCAAGAATTTCCTATTCTTGGGGCCAGCAGGCAGTGTGGTGGGTAGTGTGGTGGTTAAGATGCTGGACACTCCCACATGGCTGACCACGGTTTGAGTCCTGGACCTGGTGGCTTGCTTTCTCACTATCCCTTTCTCTATTTCTGTTTCTCTCTCTCTCTGGTTAAATTAAAAATAAATAAAATTAAATAAATAATTAAAAAGAAGAATTTCCTATTCTTGACTTTATCTACCTCCTACACTTTGTTTTTTATTTTAATCTTTTTATTTTTATCATCTATATCCTTATATTTTAGATCTTTATGTTTTAAATATATATAGAGAAGGCGGTTTTAAAAACTCAGTCTGATACTCTGCACTATTTAATTGGAATGCTTGTTCATTTACACATAATCATTGATGTTTTGGGTTTTATATTTACAATTGAACTATTTGCTTTCTTTTTCATCTGTTTGCTTTGCAATCTATTTCTGTCTTTTTTTATATTGATGAAGATTTATTTACTAATAAACTTTTGTCATCTACTGGCTCGTTGCTTAGAAATTCTTAAGCTATTTTTTCATTAGTAACTCTAGAGATCGAAACAAACATCTGTAAGTTTTCAAATTTTCTATAAGTTAGTTTTCATTTTCCTAAAACATGCACAAATTTTGATACCATTTATACTCCTCACATTCATGATTTATGAATTGCTGTGATACATTTAAATGCAATCTATGAATGTATGTATACATATCTATCATCTAAATGAAATTCCTCACTACTTGTTATTAAAATAATTGTTATTATTTTATAGACATTCATTTATATTCAGCCAGAGAGTTAGCCCTTTCACTGTTTTTCATTTATTGCTACTTCTTAGATTATTTTCCCTTTGTGAAAACAAACAAAAACTTTAAAAGTTCATTGATTGGGGGGCTTCCTTGATTTGTCTGTCTAGAAATACGTTTAATTTCTTTGCACATCTAAATATTTTCTGTGACTATATAATTTTTGGTTGACATATTTTCCCCCTAGCTTTTTAATGATAGAATTCCATTGCTTTCAGGTCTCAATTGTTTCTTTGGGAATTCAGCTGTCAGTCTTACTGCTGCTCCTTTGTCTAGGTTTTATTTTTTTCTAAAATTTTTCACTTAAAATAATTTTGACTTTGGGTTTGAGGAGTTTCACTACTATGTAATTGGGCATGTTTTTGTTTAATTTAACCCTGGTGATTGCTTTATGGATTTGTGACTTGAAGTCTTTCATCATGTTTACAAAATTTTCAGTCCTTCCTGTTTTAAATATTGTCTCTCTCCACTCTCTCCGTTTTCTTTCTCAGAGACCAATTACAATTCTGTAGATGACCTCACAGTACTGTCTCCATTTCTTTCTGTTTCTGTCTCTATCTGTCCCTGTGTATATATATATATGCATTTTTTATCATTTTTTTCTCTCTAAGCCTTACTCTGTATTTTCTTCTAAAATACCTGTAAGTTCCTGAATTCTCTCCTCAGTTTTGCTAATTTTGGAATATTAACTTATTTTTTACATTTTCTGCAACATTTTCCAAACTTTTATTTCAATTATTTCTTTCATTTTTCTTGCATGCTTTAGATCATTTGATTTTTTTTTTTCAAATGAGAATTGTTTTCTTTTTATTTATTTATTTATGGCTGTGTGCTCAGCAGAGCAAGCAGAGAGATGCATGTGGGGAATGGAGTGAGAAATCACCCTCATGGAGGATGGCCATGCAGCAGGCCCTTGTCTTCCATTCTTTTCTTGTTATTTTAGGCACACCAGCACAAGTGCCTGGCATGATTCTCAAGCCACCAGGCCTGGGTCTCCAATAGTAGAGGCCGACATGTGGGATCCAGGGCCGTCACTTCCATGCCATCTGCTGGCCCCAAAATTATTTCTTTTCAAAAGTAAAGTTACATTTTGTAAATTAGCTCAGTGTAATTGTAAAGTGGAAGTTGGTTGTATTTTATCCTTTGCTTCAAGTTTCAATGCATTTCATTATTATAGAGAATGATATACTTAAAGCGAATAAATTTGTGTTTACTGTGCCCTGGATAAAAAAGTCTTTGTGCAGGTGTCTTTATAACATTCCTGATGTCAGTAAAGTTCCCTTTCCAATGAAACAAGATAAAAAGATAAGAAAACATTAGATAATGATGTTTACTGGACAATTGGAAATGTAGCTTATAGCTTTGCAGATAAAACAATCAATACAATAATTACTGAAAAAAAATGGAATCCAAACTATCAAAACAAGGGCTTTATAAAGGGAGGTAGGTTCATATGATGTCCCGGATCTAGGTGCTTTCAGGGTGAAAGGCTTGATTCTGGTTCACGAGATCCTTAGCATAATGACCTGGATACAGGTGAAAAACTGAAGAAGAGGACAGAGAGTCTGCATGAGATCGTAAGATAGGATGTTCTGCAACTGTGAAATGGAGGAACAGTTTTGGCTAAAGAATAATCAAGATGAATGAAAGCAACATCAATTGAGAATATAGTTTCAGAAATATGAAGTTTGGGGTAGTTACAAAGTGGAGATAAAGCTGAGGCAGTAAAGTATTATCATTTCTGCAGTCAAAGGTAGGTTAGATTTAGTGAGTGGCTGGAAAAACAGAAGCCAGAAAAAGATTTATCCAGCCATGCTTATAAGAAAATGAATCTTGAGAGATTTTTCAAGACATAATGATTTCAAATTCCATTCCATCTCTTAGTGTTACATTCCTTTAGAAAAATTCAGGCACAAAGAATGAAAAGTCATAAACAAATATTTTTTCTGATTCTCAATGTTTTGTTTCTATCTTGGTCTTTCATACAGATACAGCAGGCCTTCATGGTATTTCCTTGGCTTGTTTTCTTCTTTGGATCTGCTTGCAAAAATATCAGCCTCATAAATCATTGCTTTTAAACGGACTTATCCATTGTGTTATCTTTGCTATGTAATTTTAGTTTCACGTTCTTCTCCCTTTTCTTATATAGGTAACGTATTCTTGCAAACTCTGTTTAAAGGAAAAACTGTAATGTAATAGAGAATGACATGAGAGTCATTCCACAATGTAAACAAAGCCGACTGCTTTCAGATTTTAGTTGTTTCAGTTATTTCATCTGATAAGCCAGATGACATACACTGACTCCTTTTCTCATTTTGATTGCGAACAGGAATGATATGGCTTCTCCTTTGTCTTCAGCCTCGTTATTAAGATAGAACAATGCCTCTAAGTGATCATAGAATTGCATGATGAAAACCTTTGCTGAATGCAGTCTTAACTTGTATTTTGAAAGAAACATTTTCAAGATATTTTACTCTCCACTTCAAGTTTTAACATCTTATAAAGTCTGCAAACCGTCAGGATTCTTGCCATCAGGCCCTGGCAGTCAAACACAGTAGAAATGCAAGAGGAGCCTCATAAATGTGAAGAGAGAACTCGATCTGAACACAGATAAAAGTCTAGGTAAGAAGAACAAGGGACCAGATAGTGAAATGACGGTAAAACGCAACATTCTGTGGGACTGTCATGGAAATGTTCTTGGTTTGTGTCTGGAGACCTCCCTGAGTATGCCAGGCACATGCATGTGAGGCTGCTGTTTCTAGGGGTGGATCGTGGCATCAAGACCCTGTTGGGGATGCTGTCTGTCTCTCTCTCAGGAAAAGAAATAAATACATTTAAAAAAAGGAGGCCAGCAGATGGCATAGTAGTTAGGTGCTGAACTCCCATGGTTCAAGTCCTGGACAGGGCAGCTTGAAACTCACACTGGGCACATGTATACGTGTATGACCAAAACTGAGAGGAGAGTGGAGGAGAAGGGATTGTGACATAGCCATCCCTATGGGACATGGTTTCTCACTTTGTGTCTCTCTGTCTCTCTCTCTGACTCTTTGGCAAGTGCATATTCCCTATGGTGAAAATCTGTCTCAAAAGAAAAAGAAAGAGTAAGAAAGAAAGGAAGAAAGGAAGAAAGGAAGGAAGGAAGGAAGGAAGGAAGGAAGGAAGGAAGGAAGGAAGGAAGAAAGAAAGAAAGAAAGAAAGAAAGAAAGAAAAGAAAAGAAAAGAAAAGAAAAGAAAAGAAAAGAAAAGAAAAGAAAAGAAAAATGAAATAGAAACGTGCTCTCTTTCTAACTCATGTGCTTTTCTATTTTTTCCCTTTCAGAGGCATCGACTCATAGCCCATGTATCACAAGTTATATTTCAGGGCTGCTGAAGCAGGACACTAATATTATTTCAAAGACCTTTAGACCTTCAAAGAAAGTCAATGACAAACAACTAAGTGAAAGTTTAGGTCAATAGCCAAAATAAAATTATTTATTTTAATTTCAAGGTGTATTAGTTTTCGTAAAATTAAATGTTCTTTGCCAGTCACCTGTTTTCAGACTTCTTTTTATTTCAGTTTAGCCTTTTCTGGTTTCCCATGTGGCAGGCAGCAGATAATGTTCCCAGTGATAAATATTTGATATGAAATAAAAACTTTTGTTTCTTCCTATGATGAGCAGAGATGCGTTTATAGTTTTATTGTTTGTCAAATTACAAATAAAGAAACTAGAAAATGAAACTATTCCAAATGTGGAAGTCATTTGTCACTGCCTACGTGATAAGTTGTGGTCACTGACTATGGCAACAATTATAATAAATAGATGTCCCAAATTCCTCAGGGACAGGACGAGAGGAACAGACTGCAAGAGGATGGCATTTGACAAAGGCTGTCCTACGGCCCATCCTTGGGAAAGCCTTCAAGACTATCACATAGATGAGGACGTGGGCTTCGCGCTGCCAAACCCACTGGTAAGAGAGGGCACTGAATAAGAAAAAGTATGTATCTCCTCATACTCACCTGGGCAAGTTAATGTCTATGGTTCAGTAACTTCTATGAACTAAGTGGATAAAACGATGCCAAGGCTGGAGGCAGAATTTCAGTAACTGAGTCTCACTTAACTTTCTTAAAATGTTCCCCCTAGAAATTTAGTACATTTCTTTCTTACTTCCCTAACATAGATATTGAATGTGATGATGTAAGGAAGCTATGGAAAATAGCTTTTTTTTTTCCCAAAGAATTATACTATAGAAAGCAAAAGTTGGTTTATTATAATTTCAGGTTTTAGGGGGTATTTGAAAAGTCAAGTTCTAAATGACCCACGAGAGAGGGGAAACTCCTTTGTCTATGGATGCGCTTTAATCTGTACAAAGTAAATACTCCCGATTTGATTGACATTATGAGATGGGACATAAAGTGACTTTTGGCTTCATTAATAGTGTTTGCTATTTACAAACCCCAAGAGAACCAAAACTCTCTCTGGCTACTTCACAAATAATTCTGTTACTTGGGATGCTGAGGATGTTAGATGCAGAGTCCCAGAACATAAAGAGTTCATTTTATTTCTTCACTAAAGATTTTCCTAGGATCTATAAGCTCAAAAAAATCTATTTCCTGTCTAGAATGTATGATCTTTGTGTTCTGAAGGAAAATAATACGGCTTTGATTCTGTGCAGATACAAGGCATATTCTCTAATCTAGCGGAAGATGAGTGATCCTCTGTGTTAGTCGTCGTTGGTTTATATTATATTATTTAGGGATTCTCTAAATAGGAAATATTTTGTTGAAATTTATATTTGTTGAAATTTATATTTGTTGAAAGTGCTGTCAAATAAGACACTAATCATGGTGCATAAGAAGAAAAAAGAAACAAAAAAAAAAAAATCCTGTTTCTGTTGGTTGTGAAAAATGGCAACATGCAAAGACCAGGTATGTTATAGACGAAACAGAACAATGACAGCACTGGAGCACAGCATTTGTGTGGTCAGAGTGGAAAGTTCAGAGCAATGAAAGCTTGCTATCTACTTGGGACGCTGTCTAGGGTTTCCACTGCTAAAAATCTGCCCTGTTTAAAACTGCTGAACAATTACCTGCAGACGTTGAAAATGTCTGAATTTTGTCTTTGTCTTCTGGTTTTAGTGCTTCCTTATCATAGTAACTTTATTTTGAAGCTCAAGACTTTGCCTACGTTGATTGGAGTTAATCTGTGCATTTGTACTCAGTCTCATGGTTGGACATTGACAACTTCCAGGGCACACCTTGAGGCAGTCTGAGGGAGGAGGCGTAGGGACAGTGTAGACAAGGAAAGTTCAAAGATCTGTTTCTCATTTCAGGATGTTGCCTAGGTCTTTTGTTTCTGTGTTTCCCCTGAGATGATAAATATTGATAAGACCCAGGGAGGCACCTTGTTGTTAGATTTCATTTTTACTTACTAGGCAAAAGACAAGCTCATGGTACCTGAGCAATCAACATGTACACACAGCACCTCTGACATCTTCAGTAGGTGCCAGTTCTAGTAAGGAACAGAAAAGACATGTACACACAGCACCTCTGACATCTTCAGTTGTTCCCAGTTCTAGTAAGGAACAGAAAAGGAAAAGCACAATACATGCCCTGCCATTGAATGGCATGACACAAATAGAATGTGCATTTTGGAAGTTAGAAACACTTGTTTGAGTTGTAATTGGCTGTACACACAAAGCAAGTTACATTCGCTGAGCCTAGATTTCCTTATTTCTGATGTAGACATAACTTCTTAGGCCATCACAAGCATGAAATGAGAATACCTGTGAAATTATTGAGCAAGGTGTCTAGTCCACCACTGACCTCACCTTTTTCAGTGTAAAGAACTTGAAAATCTAGCCAAGAAGAAAAAAGTAGCAGATGATAAATTATTTAACAATGTGAAAAGGTGTAATTCCTAAGATTTGTAATGAAGATTGCTGTTGAGTGAAGTAGTCGGGAAGATTTGAGTGGAACTTTTGAGGTGAACTTTGCAAACCAGGCAGACAGGAATTCTTGAAGAGCAAAAAGGAGGTGGAAGGAGAAAGTTTTGCCTCCTGTATTTGAGGTGGAAAGGCATGGGCTGGTATTCCTAGGCAGGTGTGTGTCCTTGCAATATTGCATGACATGGATGAAGAGGTAAGGCAGACTGTCTGTGAGAAATCACAACTATTTTACAGTAATTTTCTGTAGCAAATCAAAGTCTCTCTCTCCTTTCATGTTTTTAGGAGATGCTACCTCCTGATTATGATTCTTGGATTTTCATTGCTAAAAATCTGCCTGAACTGATTAAGTCTGGCCAACTTCGAGCAGAAGTTGAGAAGGTTTGAAATTGATAATGAATTTGTCGTCTCTGTGTATAACTTTTTTTTTTTTTTTTTGAGACAGAGAGGGAAAGTGAGAAATCACAATCCCCTCACCTGCCCCCCACCCTCACCGCAGCAATGGCCATGCTACAGTTCCTTTTCCTCCAGTCTCCTCTCGGAATTTTGGGGCACACACACACACACGCATGCATGTGTCTGGCTTGTTCTTCAAGTACCAGTCTGGGATGCAACCCTTGCTTTTGGCCATGTGCTATCCGGTGCCTTACCTTCCGCAGCACCTGCTGGTCCATAATGTAATTATTTCATGTAGTATTTTAACATGCTCTCAAAGTCTGTTGATCCGAATCAACCTCTTCATTTGTCCTCAGCTGCCAATGCTCAGTGTCGATGACCTGCAAGGACACAGGGCACAGCGTCTTGCACATCTGGCTCTTGGGTACATCACCATGGCATACGTATGGGGGCAAGGTGACGGGGATGTCCGTAAGGTTTGGAGACTTTCTGGTATCTTTTACGCTTTGGATTTTCACCTAATTTATATTTAATGGAAGAAACTTCTGAAAGTTTTATAACTGCATTTTACAAAGTTTGGATGTGGAAAAAAGGGAAAAGAAAACAAGTTCATGGATGTAACATCCTAACTATTATCATTACAAGATTTTTACTCTTTTACTTACAGAACACACTTGCTTTGTTTGGTACATGTACTTAGATAGTCTATTTCTTTAAATCATATTGTAAGCATGTTTTTAAAAAAACACAATTATCCTAATCATTTGAAATGACTTTATAATTTTTCATCAAGTTCCTGAGCTTTAGTTTATTTACTAAATAGTCTTTTGGCAAATACTTCATTTGTTTTTGAATATTGGCTTGTTGGGAAAGTCATGACACATTTCTGCATAGAAAAATACATCATAACTTTCCAGAAACCTAATATCTCATTAATAGATATTCATAGCACTGCAATGAATACCTTTGAATGTAAGCCATTTTTTCTCTATGTATGATTTTTAGGAGGTCTGAACATTTTATGGCTCATAGTTAATGCTGAAATACTATCTGACATCTGTCAACAAGGAAGAATTACTGGTTTCACTACACTCTAACCAACATTAGATAAACTCAATTTTAAAATAATGCTTGCATGTATGTGTGTATGTTTTTTGTGTTATTCATAGTCATGTTTATATCAAAGTAGCAATTAAGAGCACATAACCATTATAAATTAGGTTTTATAGCAATTTCACTCTACACCCAATCAAAAGAGATTTCCAGTAACCTCATCCTAAGGATTGGTGCAAGGCAGATGAACAGAGATCGTGTCCCACCTCTATCCATTCCTGCCCAGTGGAGCAACTGAAGGTCCTGTCTTTCCATCCCATTTGTGGCTTTCCTATTAAGCAAGTAAAAATCCAGGAGTTTTAGTAAATTTGAATTTCAGATAAGCAACAAATTCTTGTAATATTACGTGCATCATGCAATACGAACATTTACTGAGTATCATATGTTTTATTAGGCAATCCTAGTCACATGAAGTTAAGACATACTACAATAGCTAACTTTTAAATCATAAAGGGATCATTAACCATTTCATGAAAAATTTTGCTTTGGCAAGGTTAGTTGGTGTTGTATGCACTTAGCTTTCTTTTCACCCTTTGCTAAAAGACAGATCATCACATACAGCTCACCTATTGTCACCTCTCTATATGTAGAGAAGTGGATGAGGTTGCTCCAGAGTACTAGTTTATACTCCTTAAAATCATCAATGTCCATGTCCAAATTCTCAGATGCTGCGAAGAAAGTAAGGCCAGTTCTTGTCTTACAACCTAAGACTGGGGGTGAGGAGACCACCTAGCTAGCTGACAGCACACCCCAAAAATAGATGTCTCTATCTAGTCAAGGCAGTACCAGACAATGGCAGGACCACCCTATGCGGGCAAGAACCTTGCTCTATGTGGCTCCAGAAAAGAAGAGTTGAGAAGGGGTTAGGCTGGAGTTTCAATTCCAAATTCAATCATCATAAAAGCCTCTATCCCTCCTCGGAGGAAGGGTGACTGAGAGCTGAGATACCCGGGAATGCCATCCCAGTCTATAGACTTCCGCATGGAAATACGAAGCGAGAGTTAAGGAGATTCCTCCTCGAAGGAAGTCTTCAAAGTCAAGCGCAAATGTCATTCCATGGTGAAGCTTTCTAAAATCCTGGTCAGTGTCATCATTACCCAGGAGAGAGCTTCTTTCTACACTGAGCTCCAAGAGCAACGACCTGCTTATACCTCCCTACACCAAGCGTCATATCCTAAGGTTTAATTCCAAAGACTGGAGCATCTTTGACATAATTGATTTTATCTTCTTTTGCCAGTGGATAATGTGGTATCTAGCTTTTATGCATGTGGACACACACACACACACACACACACATACACACACACATACACATACACTGCTTAACAAATATTCATGGGATTGATGGATGGAAGAATAAGTGAAAATTACTTACAAGATCATTAAAAGTCACAGACGCAGGCTTTGTTCCTCTTGCTCTCTGCCTCTTTTTCCTTTCTGTGGTCAGATTAGGTCCTCATCCACCCAAATCTAAAACATGAACTTCTAACAATTAGCAGGGTTCAGTTATGAAATGAGGAAGAAAAAGTTGCATCTGCCTGTTTTCCAAGTTTCATTCATGATACAGAGTGACTACTCTGTTGGCACATAGAAAGCAGAGATGAAGGGAAGTCATGTCAATAATTAAAAGTAAATATTGTGTCTTAATTAGGTGTTGCCAAGCAATATTGCGATCCCGTACTGCAGACTCTCTGAGAAGCTGGGACTGCCTCCTATTCTGGTTTATGCAGATTGTGTTTTGGCCAACTGGAAGAAAAAGGATCCCGATGGGTATGTAAAGCATAATTATAACAGCAATCAGAGGAGTGCATTGCTATTTTGGTCCCAAGGTAGTTCTTTCATACTTTGTTTTTAGCAGCATGGCTTCCTTCGGTGTTGGGTATGGTTTCTTGGGCTGCTGTATCTGTAACTACAGTGCACTGCAAATGTAGGAAAACGAGGTGTATGGTTAGCATGTATTAAACGCACATGTCTTAAGTGGTCCATTTGAATTTGACTGTTTTATACCTGTATGTAACCACCCACTCTAAGCAAGATACTGACTGCTTCTCTCATGTCAGACAATTCCTTTACACTTCTCTCTGTTCAATTCTATTCCCTGCCCAAGCAAATATGTTCCCACTTGTCTTACCAAACACTTGGGTTTTCAAAAATTATTGTTATTGTTTGGTTTTATCCCTCTGAAACCATACAGTATATACTCTTTTGTGTCTGGCTTCTTTTAATTAGCATAGTTTGGAGATTCTACAAATGTAATGTTCAAGGAGCCGGTTGTATTTGAATCAACACATCTGTGGTAAGAGAGGTAGCCACCTCTGGGCTTTCTGGGCAGCCCGCCCAGAATCTCAGTCTCTTCTCCCATTTAGTAAGGGGATCTGCTGCAGTAGCGGGACAAGAGAATCACAGAGCCCTTAGCTCTGGGTAGGTGCCTGTGGAGAAGTATTTTGTACTTGCAAATACCAAAAAGAGAAAGGATTTTTTTCTAGGAAATTTCTTATTAGCAACACTATTTTAAACTATCCATGTAGGTTCCCTGCATATTTCGTGTGTGTGTGTGGTGTTTCACACAGGGTCTTGCTATTTCACAATCCTCCTGCCTCAGCCCTCTGAGTAGGGGAACTAGAGGCAAGCACAACCTGGCTTTAGGGAGGGCTGGGAATCGAACCTGAGCCTCCCATGTGGCCTCAGCCTTCAGAGCAGTGGTGTCAAGCACATACTCTGCTGTTGGGCTTAATTGTTTTATTTCACTTATGAGTTTAATGTTTGTAATGCCTGCTTGATAAATATTAATATAATAAATATATAATATAGATAACAATTATCAAATATAAACAATAAATAATATAATAAGATATAATTAATATAAATATTGTGAATATGTATATTATTTTCAACCTATAGCTTACCTCTGATAGACCAATAGTTTTACATCTAAAAATCAAATTTAGTTGATTCATGTTTTTTCTTTCTTTGCATTGGCCTGTTGCTTTCTGACTGCTTTCATAAGGCCCCTGACTTATGAGTAAGTATTTGATATTGGAGTCTTATTTTATTGTAAGAATGATTTGTCATTCAAAGTGAATATGGTTCATCAGTATACTCTACATGCGTTTTTTGAAATGACCAATTGAATTCAGATGAAAACTAACGGATTATTTAAAGAGAAAATGATCCCAGTATCTCTGACTGTGATGTGACTGTGTCTCTTTGATATTACAACTATAGATACATACAAAAATACGTCTTGCATACACATGTATGTAATTAATATGCATCAGTACTAAAGGGGCCCACAGCTGTATATCTGTGACTTAACGACCTCTGTGGCCAGAACTGGTCACCCTTGAATACTTGCATGTCAGTTCACCTAGTGCAGCAATCACTCAGTCACCACATGCAACTTGTTCTTTTTGGCCCAGTCCTTGCTACGTTGGACCTGAGTACTAAATGTACGTTAAGGCTGGGAGATGAAGGTGAACATCACAGATACAAGCCTGTGTGGCGAAGCTAGTCTAATGGAAAGGAAGGACGGCATAGGAAAATTAGATAAATGGTACCATGATTCAGAGAAGGGGTAGGAGGTAATGGACCAGGAACTCTAATCAAATATAAGTGAGAAAGCAAGAATCACTGAAGCAAGTTATTTAAGCTGAGTCCTCAAAAGTGAGTAGGAATTAGCTAAAGGAAGGAAAAAATGAAAATGTAGTGGAAAAAAATATATAAAATGTGAAGAACTTGAAGGGATGAATTCTTGGTGCATCATCAGAACTAAAAAAGGCCAGCAGGTGGTATAGCAGTTAAGGTGCTGGACTGCCACATGGCTAGCCATGGTTTGAGTCCTGGACCCAGCAACTTGAAAATCACACTGGGCACATATGCTCACATACCTAAAATTCTGAGAGGATGATGGAGAAGGGATTGCAGCATAGCCATCCAACCTGGGGACTGATTTTTCACTTTCATCCTCTCTATCTTTCTCTAGCAAGCACATACACCCTATGGAAAAACAAAAAACAAAACAGAACAAAAAACCCTAATATGGTTGACAAAAATAGTAGTATGATAAATGGATTAAAAAGAGAAAGATTGTGAGGGACTTTGTTGGCCATAATTATTAAAGGGCATCTTCAAGTAAATGAGAAGTTGGGAGATAAATAGACAGAAGGATAGTTTCATCAATCCCATTTTACAGATGAGAACACCGAGAGAGACAGATGAGATATCTTACTCAAGGGTACGTAGCAAGTAAGCCTCAGAAGCATGCTGACTTCAGAAAACACAAATTTAACCACAGCAAAACTCATCTACACATGGACTTGAGACTGAGTTTGTACCACTGACAGAACTTCAGTAGACAATAAGAACAGGGTCTACAGAGTTCTTTGGATAACTCAGTCAATTCCTGTGTAAAGTAGATAAATTATTGAGAAATTGAGTCAGAATGACAGATAAAAATATCAATGTAAATTTATTTATTTAAACAAAAAGACTATCTCTGGAAATTGCCTCACAGATATCTCTACAAACATTGAGTACGTATCTACTGTAATATTTATGCCTGTAAGAAATGAAGCGATAACAGAAACAATTTGTTGAGAATTTCTAGTTTCCAGATCTAGAATGAAATTTCAAGTCCTAATTTAACCTTTCTGCTGTTAATTATATGATATAAACAATAGACCTTACATAGCTGGGTCTTAATATTTTCAACTATGTAAGTGGAGATAGTGTGACCTACCATACCTTTCTCACAAAGTTCTTCGGAAAATAAAAGAACAGAAATAAAAATGCTTGAGAACTAGCAGGCATTCTTCAAATACATACCATTATTTTTTGCTGAATTTCTTGCCTTCCTTCACTCATTTTCTTAGGAACATGGAGATTTTGTTCTCATTTCCTGGTGGAGACTGCAGTAAAGGATTCTTTCTGGTTTCTCTATTGGTAGAAATAGCAGCTGCTTCTGCAATCAAAGTACGTCCATCCACACTTATTTGTATGCCAATCCACGTAAGCGTAGCAATCACTCAGTAAATGAACAATCATAAGCACGAATTAACTTTGTTTTTACTAACTACAGCATTGCGTCATCTATTTGGGGGTAAGACGTCATCTGGTAGGAAGAGGTGTTTCATTTTATTTTTTGGAGAGGTTTTTGCTATAGGGTGTGTGCACTCACTAGACAGACAGAGAGAGATAGAGAGACAGAAAGCAAAAAATCACCCCCCGGGGGGATGGCCACGCCGCGATCCCTTCTCCTCCATTGTCTCAAGATCTTGGGCATGCATGCACACGCGCCTGGCATGAGTTTTTTTAAGCCGCCGGGTCCGAGACATGAACTGTGGTCAACTACATGGGAGTCCAGCGACATAGCCATTACACTAACTGCTGGCCCCTCATTTGTTTTTGTATGTGACCTGAAATATGAAAACTAGGATTCATCAATTTAGAATCAAATTCAAAACTCTGTAAGAGATAAAAATTTTCAATGCAACCTGCCATTGGAGCTATAATACATAGTGACATAAATCCACTGGTTTTCAAGTATTAGAAATAGAAATTGAGGGCAGGCCAGCAGGTGGTGTGATGGATAAGGGCGCTGGATTCCCACATGGCCAACCATGGTTCAAGTCCTGGACCTGGTGGCTTGCTTCCTCACTTTCCCTTTCTCTCTCTCTCTCTCTCTCTCATCGAATAAAGAAAAAAAAGGAAATAAATAATTCTTTAGAAAAAAAAAAGAAATAGAAACTGAGGGGCCAGCATGTGGCATGGTGGTCAAGTCGCTGGACTCCCACATTGCTGACTGCGGTTCAAGACCTGGACCTGTCAGTTTGAAACTTACTCCAGGCACATGTGGGTGCATGCCCAAAATCCCAGGAGGAGAATGGGGAGAAGGGGTTGCAGTGTGGTCATCCCCTCTAGGGCAGTGATTTCTCAGTTCCCCTTCCGTCTATCTCTGGCAAGCAAATGCACTCTATGGCAAAAACTTTAAAGAAAACAGAAAAAAGAAAAAAAAACTGATATTGAAATGTACATATAAAGAACAATATAAATATCTCTAGATTGCCAGAAGAATAAAGACAAATTCAAATTTGCATAAATGTAAGGAAATTAGTCAGACAGTCAAATAGGTAGGGATTAAGACTTGGTAGGATTTTACTCTATGCCAGTGTTGAGTGTGCACTGTGCAGAGATCTTAAGTGTTTGTCTTTTTTTTTTTTTTTTTCTTTTTAAGGTAATTCCCACTATATTCAATGCAGTGCAACATCAGGATCGGGACACTTTGCAAAAGGCACTGCTTGACACAGCTTCTTGCCTCCACAAAGCCCTTGAAGTGTTCCACCAAATTCATGGTAAGTATTGATGTCGTAGAACGTTCTGGGATGACACTCAGATGGTTCTGGTTGTCTAAGGTGTAGAGTTGTTGAACAAGGGGAAGCAAAAATCTGCTCTCACTGGGGCCAGCAGGTGGCATGGTGGTGATGGTTGGGGCACTGGACTTCCACATGGCTCACTGTGGTTCAGGTCCCAGATCTGGTGGCTTGCTTTCTCTCTTTACTCTTCTCTCTCTCTGTGTCTCTCTGTTGAGTGCACATGGCCCATAGCAAATTAATAATAATAAAATAATAATAAAGACAATTATATAGGTAATTGTAAAAAAAAAAAAAACAACCCTACTATCACTTACTGTGTTTCCATTTCATGTATTTTGTTTCACTAAATTATTACATTTTCTATGTGCTGGATTTTATTTTACTTGCTACTGACATATGATTATGAGATGCAATGCAGTTTTTTAGTATAAAGTACACTAATTAAATCCAGATAACATGCATATCCATCATTTCAATAATTTGTTATTACTTTGTGTTGAGAACATTCAAAAAATCCTTTGTAAAGCTATTCTGAGGTATACAGTAAATTGCTATCAACTGTAGGTACAGTGTAGTGTGGTACAGTGCTACTGTACTTAATAACATCAGAACTTGCTCCTCTTACTACTTGTAATTTTGTTTTCATAAACCTGTATTTCTCCATCCTCTTCTCCCATTCTTCCCAGATTCGATTAGCTATTCTTTCATGCTCTACTTCTATGAGGTCATCCTTATCAATTTCCCATGTTGTAGGTTTTATTGTCTCCATTTTACAGATAAGGGAATCTCAATTCAGAGAGATAAGATAAACGACTTGCATGTACACAGTTTACACAGATAATAAATAGTGCAGCCAGAGCTGCAAGCTAGGTCTGGACGATGCTAAGAAACTTCCTGGCCTTCTACTAAAAAACACGGAGAAACTTGCTAGACACGAAGGCAGTTTTAAGTTCTGAAAAACTTAGCTTCTACTTGATAAGAGTTCTCTGCTAACTCTGTTTTTTTTTTTTTTTTTTTCCATGTTAACTAAGAAACTACACAGAGAAGACATGGAGCTCCAAAATTGTTCCAAAGCCAACAGCTAAAATGCAACCAAAAAAACAAAACAAAACAAAACAACAAAAAAAAGAAACACTAAAAAAAGGTGCAAAACCAGTGATTTGCAAAAAGAAACTTGTGCTACTGGAGACACTTCACAAATATGTGATTGTCAATTGCTGGGTTTTGGGTTACTGCTGATTGGTCCTTGATGAGGAGGTGCATCTTCAAATCCAATATGTTAGTAAGCGTTAGGGAGGGAGATCCATATGTGGTCCATAAGGTTGCAGGAAGTTTTGTTAATTTTGTTTTGGTTTGTTTATTTTTTAAATTAATTTATATTTTATTTTATTTTTTTTAATTAAAATTTTTTTCATTTCATTTTCTTTCATGTATTCAATCACATTGTTATTTGTCATACAAAGTGGATATTTCAACAGGTGAACATTTCTCCCTAGAACTGTTGATAAAACTACAAAATATCTTCAACAGATAATACCACACCTCTTTGTGCCATTAATGCTTTGCCTCCCTGTTCTTCCCCCAAATGTCCTTCCTCAGACCCTCCTCTTTCACACACACTATATCTGGTATTTACATCTATATACTGTGTTTCTATATCCTTTAGACAATTAGTTTCAGTCATAGAGTGCAGACACTCGGCATGTTTTCTTATTTTTAAAAAAATAATTGTTATTGAATTTGTAACTTACATATAATAGTTGTACATCTCTGTGAGGTATGCTGTGTTTTTTTCAAAACATGTACATACTCCTGTCCCCATAGCCTAGTGGTTAAAGGAGCTGAAGCCCATATGGTCAATTGCAATTCTAATCCCAACCCTGGCAGCTTGAAAAACACTATGGATGCATGTGCATGCTTGTCCTAAATTGCAACAGGTTGAAGAAGTGGATGAGAAGGCATTGTGATGTGACCACGCCCCACTCGGAAGTGCTTTTCCCCACCCCCGTCACTCTCTCTGCCTAGTACATGTGCCTTCTACCAATTAAAAAAAAAAAGAAAGGAACAAAAGCATATGTACAATACGATCAAATCGAGGCAACAAGGATATGCACCAGATAAAACATGGATTGCTATTTTGTGCCATACACGTTGGAAACCTGCTCTTCTGGTTATGTTGAAATATATGTTGGATTGTCACTAACTTACCTTCCTGTGCTATAGTATCTTCACTAGTCCATTTATCTACACACATCCTTGTATCTGGCACATCAATAAGCCCATGAAGTAGTGCTAAAGAAATGGAAGAGAGTGTGTAGAAAGACATTAAGGAGAAAAATAGAGAGGCGAGACATTTAGGGGACACAGAAATGGATTATTTTCAATTGATGACAATATGAATAGCATCCCTAACTGGACTAGTGTGAAATGTATTCATGTTGGAAAATTAACTTGGCAAGCTAAAAAAAATGAAAGAAATGTTGACATTTTAACTGGTCCTGACAATGGATGCCATTGAGCCCATTGGATGATGGGCCGGGCTCTGGGGAGAGGGCAGGAGAGCGCAGGCTTGTCCACAGGGCTGTGTCCTGCAGACTGACCTAATGCCTGTGATTGGTGCTCAACTCCGCCATCTGTGGTTGTAAGACCTTGATTTCCCTGTTCATGTCTCACGCTGCTGAACTAAACACATTCTGTCTTTTCACAGATTACGTGGACCCCAAGCTATTTTTCAATGTTCTTCGCATCTATTTGTCTGGGTATGTAGTTTTAGGATTGAATTTGTTTTCTCTCCATTAACATAACACCAAATTCTTGTGGATGGTCCCCACTATGCATTGTGTCTAAAACTCTATTTTTATCATAGAATGTGTGTTGTAGAGAAAGAGTAGATTATTCTATAGTTACCTTATCAGGAATGTATTGAAGGAGGAACAATCAAAATAATCATTTAAAAACAACTGGACTGGTCTAGTGCCAAGAATATGTCCTCGCTTATTTGTGCTAAATTTTATGCTAAGTTTGCTGAGATTCATTTTATCTATTATTCTCATGTATGAAAACAAGAAGAGAAAGGGGATTAAGAATCATGGAACCCATCTCTGTCACCTTCGATGTATCTCTACTGCAAGATCTTATGTCAGGAAATTGGCAATTAGTCCAGAGTGATGTTTTCTTTCCCTCTTGACCTAGCTGGAAAGGCAACCCCCAGCTGCCAGATGGTCTGCTGTATGAGGGGGTCTGGGACACCCCAAGGAAGTGTGCAGGGGGCAGTGCAGCCCAGAGCAGCATCTTTCAGTGTTTCGATGTCCTGCTAGGTATTCAGCAGAGAGACAGTGGAGGTAAGCTGAAATGACAGGAATTGTCACTTGCACAGATTTGATGGTATTTTAACTTCCTTTTTTTTTTTATAGAGGCTTTTATGCCTTGGAGTGTGTGTATTCACCAGAGAAAGAGACAGAGACAGTGAGGGGGAAAGTGAGAAATTATCCCCCAGAGGGGATGGCCATGCCACAATCCCTTCTCCATTCTCCTCCCAGGATTTGGGGCATGCACGCATGTGTGCCCAGCGTGAGTTTGAAGCCACTGGTCTGGGACCCCAGCTGGCCATGTGGGAGTCCAGTGACATGACTGCTAAACCATCTGTTGGCTGCTCAGTGGTATTTTAATACATATGAAGTGCCTTTTCATCAGCATCTCACCTGAGCTCAGCTGATGCTTTTAGGAGAATCAGTGAAGTAGGGACTTCATTGCTGCCATCCCATTACAGAGATGAAGAAGTGGAAACTTAGAGAGGATGGGCTCCTTATTAACCAGCTAGAAAGTGGCAGAGCCAACACTCAAACTTTGTCAGTCATGAGACTGGACATGTATTTAAATCCCGATTGGCTCCAGTGAAGCCAATATCACATATTCATGATCAGATGCAGAAAGAGAAGGTCCCCTGTGAGTGGCAGGTGGGGACGTACATGGTGCAGTGACAAGGGCTCTCAGAATGACTCTTGGCAGCCTCCTGTGGCCCCAGCAGCCCAGGCCAGGCCTGTGCCAAAGCAGAAAGATGAGCCAAGTTCAATTTCCTCCATGGGCTTAGAGGGAGGAGAAGAAAACGCTCCATGAAGAACTTTGTCTAATTTCGACTATTTTCTTGAACTTCTATTTAACAGTCAAAGAGAAAAGCATTGGGCTGGATAAAATCTGCTTTTTTCTTAATTCAGACACTATTTTAAAAATTATCAGACTGGTCCTATGACCTATTGGTTAAGAGACCTAGATCCTGGGACCAGCAGTTGGCGTGATGGCTATGTCACTGGACTCCCATGTAGTCGACTGTGATTCGAGTCCCAGACCTGGTGGCTTAAACTCATGCTGGGCATGTGTGCATGCGTGCCCAAGATCCTGAGAAGAGAAGGGATTTTGGCATGAAGAGATTACAGCAAGGCCATTCCCCATGGAGGGTGATTTTTCGCTTTTTATCTCTCTGTCTCTCTATCTCTCTCTGTCTTTTTGGCGAGAGTGCCCTATAGCAAAAACCTCTCAAAAAAAATGAAAAGAGAGAGAGAGAGAGAGACCTAGATCCTGCTTGGCTGACTGTGGTTTGAATCCTGGCCCTGGCAGCTTGAGGACATGCCAGGTCCATCTCCCCAGGACTCTATACCATCTGCTTTTTAAAGGTCAGTACAGACGAAAAGTGACGAAGGAATCACAAACAAGAAAATACCTTTTTTAAAGCTTAGCTTTATCTTCTTTTTTAAAATTTGACCAAAGAGGGACAGAATGAGAGAGAGTGAGAGAGGAGAGAGAGAAAATCAGAAAGCAAGCAGCCACCAGGTCTGGGACTTGAACTACTGTCAGCCATGTGAAAGTCCAGCACCCTTAACCATCATGCCAGCTGCTGACCCCACAGATAGCATTTTTAAAAAGTTTATTTACTCCATGAGAAAGAGAAGCAGGGACAAAGAGACAGAGATAGAATAAGAGACAGGTATCCCCCAACAGGGGATGCAGCCATCTACCCAGGACTCGCCACCCAGAGCACAGGCACAGGCACCTGGTGTGTTCAGTGTTCAGGACAGTCCTGGCTCATGAACCAGGACCTTCCTCCGGTGGATCTCATTGTGTTATTGTTGTACTTCTGCCTGCACCATTTGTGTTGTTACTTGTTGTTAATTTATTTATTTCCTAAGAGTGACACAGAGTGAGAAAAAGATAAGCTTCATGGGCATGCATTCCAGGTGTGTACAGGTCCACTGGGGGACTGAACCCGGGATCTTCCACATGGACCCGGCATAGCTTGAGCAGCACCTTAGCCCTGTGTCACTGAGCCAGCCCTATCTTTATTATTAAAGGATGCGTTCAGTCTATCTGGTTTTTATAATTAACAGCATTTTACAATAATTACCCACCACTACTAGCAGCAAGACTGGGACGTCTAAACCTTGGTGCCACCTGGGGGTGTTCTCCGCAGTCCCTGCCCTCTCAGCCTTTCTCCCTGGGTCAGGGGAGCCATGGCCTCCCTGTGACCTCACCTTCCTTTTGCTTCTTTAGAATCTGCTGCCGAGTTCCTGCAGGACATGAGAACCTACATGCCACCAGCTCACAGGGACTTCATTCGCTCACTAGAGTCAGGGCCGTCAGTCCGTAAGTTTGTCCTTTCAGAAGAGGACGCCGGCCTGCAGGAGGCCTATGACAAGTGTGTGAACGCTCTGGTCTCCTTGAGGAGCTACCACTTGCAAATCGTGACTAAGTACGTTGTGATTCCTGCAAGGCAGCAGAGCAAGGGCGACAAGGTGGCTGAAGAGCAGGGACACAAAGGCACGGGCGGCACCAGTCTCATGAACTTCCTAAAATCCGTGAGAAGCACAACCATGAAATCCCTTTTGAAGGAAGGCTAATGTAACCCAGGCCAGGGTACACATTATCAAAGCAAAAGCACTTGTGTACCTTGTCACTTCTCATTGTATCAGACCTATGGTTATAATACACAACATCTGGTGCTGGCAGGTGGCATGGTGGTTGGGGCTCTGGACTCCCATGTGGCTGACCTGGATTACACTGTAATCCGAGACCTGGCAGCTTGCTTTCTGACTTTTCTTCTCTCTCTCTCTGTCTGGTTGAATTAAAAAATAATAACAAATAAAATTAAATAATTTCAAAAAAGTAAGTAATAATACTTTTATCAATGATATGCTATAAAAGATTTCAAAATAAAAGTTTTCTGATATCTGTGTGCTCCTTACAGAAAAATGAGATAATTATGTAAAAATGTTAAAAAATAATATTAGAAGTAGTGAAACCTATGTAAGTGTAATATAATAATGGCATTTAACAAATAAAAACTTATATAAGCTAATATGTCTTGCTTCATTTATTTTTTATTTTTTTAGAGGTTTTTGGCTGAGGGCACATGAGCTTGCAGGTGGGAGAGACAGAGACAGTGAGAGGGAAAGTGAGAAATCACTCCTCAGTGGGGGATGGCCATGCCACAATCCCTTCTCTTCCATTCTCCTCTCAGGATCTTGGGTACACACATACATCTACCTGGCGTGAGTTTCAAACACTGGGTGTGGGATTTTAAACTGAACATATAAAACAATGAAGGAATGTATGAGTAAATTAATCTGGGCTGGCAAAAAAGAGGTCACCTTTGAAATACAATTTCTCCTGGGAGTTCAGGATATCAGGGACTCACTCTCCGGCATGAATTTGGCTAAGTTCATAGAGAATGGGATCCCACATGACTGACCGTGATTCACATTCTGGCCCTAGGAGCTTGAACAACATGCCAGGCACATGTGCATGGATTCCCCAAATCCTGCCGAATGGAAAAATGAGGAAACAATATTACAGTGTAACCAAGCTCCATTGATTATGTTCTCTCTCTCTGAAGTGTATGTACCCTCTGGGAAGAAAAAAAAGAGAATCCTAGAAAGTTAGGGCTTGAGAGGGACTAAAACATCTCCTGAGCTGGGGCCAGCAGGTAGTGTGGTGGTTATGTTGCTAGACTCCCACATGGCTGACAACGGTTTGAGTCCCAAACCCGGTGGATGCATGCGTGTGCATGTCCAGGGTCCCAGGAGGAGAATGGAGGAGAGGGGATTGCAGAGTGGCCATGCTCCCTAGGGGGTGACTTCTTACTTTCCCTCCACTTTCTCTCTGGCAAGTGTATACACCCTATGACAAAAAAAAAAAATCTCCTCAGCCAAATTCTTCATTCTAAGATGACGAAGGTCAGGCCCAGCAGCTTGAGTAACCTGGCGTCACACGGTGTGTCAGTTCCAAATGGCGGGAAAGCTTAAGTTTTTTATATTCTCATTTTTGTATTGCTCTACTTAGATTTGGCTGGAGGGAATGGGAATTTAAGAAGATGATGTTGACAGGATCTCATGAGGTAGAAATAGCCAGCCAGAAATCAGGTGTTTTATGGAAGCTGAGAGAAGAAAGAAGGCGCCGTGGTCCCATGAGTGTGAACTGAATTTTGAAGACCTCAGCTCTGAGGAGACAGGCTATGACTCAGAAATGCGAGTGACTACATTCAGGCAGGTGTGAGGGAGGAAATGAAGTCATATACTTCTAGAGCCAGACTTCTAAAACCGAATATATTACCTCAATAAAATCAAGTGAAAACTTCCTGCCAAATGTCACTTGATTCCTCAGAAAATACAGCAAATGTCAAAGGTAGGATGGTAGGGTACATTTTCATCTTTATTCTCCTGTCAATGTTTCTGCAATAAATACAGATATATTTTCTTTAGCTGTTTTTTTTTGTTTTGTTTTGTTTTTGTCTTTGCTATTGGGCACATGTGCTTGCTGGAGAGCAAGAGAGAGAGAGAGAAAGTGGGAAAGTACTCCCTGGGGTCACGGCCACACTGCTTCTCCTCTTGGGATTCTGGACATGTACATGTACACACACACACACACACACACACACAGCTTTTCTACCTATATCTATCTCTCTATCTACATGTATCATTTATTTAAATCTGACCAGAGAGGGACACAGTGAGAGAGAGAGAGGGAGAGAGAGAGAAAGAGAGAGAGAAAGAGAGGGAAAGTGAGAAAGCAAGCCACCAGGTCCAGGACTCGAGCTCAGGTCGGTCATGTGGGAGTCCAGAACCCTTAACCACCATACCACCTCACCTGCCAGCACCCACAAACTGTTTTTAAGCCACCAAGTCCACAACTTGAACTGCACAATTGAACACATGGGATCCAGCTGCCTTAACCACCACACCACTGACTGACCCATAGATTAATTTTCTTCTAAATAAACTTCTTTAAAGTTTATTTATTTATTCCATGAGTGAAAGAGGCAGAGAGAGAGAGAGTCAGAGATAGAGAGAGAGAGAGAGTCAGAGATAGAGAGAGAGAGACAGCACTCCCAATAGTCATGACACCATGATCCCCTCTCAGCTTCTGCTAATCCGGATCAGAGGCGTGTGCATACCCGGTGTATCCAGGAAGATCTCGAGGTCTCCGGACCTGAACCAGCACCTTCCATGTGGGTTTGCCTCACACAATATCGCAATTTACCACTGCGTCACTGTCAGCCCCACAGTACCTATGATTTCATGATGAAAAAGTGCTACACATAGTACATAAATAAATACCAAGTACATGTTAGTGTGCATGCGTGTGTAGTTTCTAAAGGATGACCTGAAAGACCACGGCGTGCTTAGAGTTTGATGTGCAGGCATTTCTAACCTGCGAGTCAGAAGACAGAGGCAATGGTTCCTCCGCGGTCATCCAGCAGCTTTCAGACCCTGGGCAAGTCACTCTGTTTCTATAAAAGAATGTACTGATCCTTCCCCGCCTTATTCACACGGCTGTGAGAGCCGGGTGGAGTATGGTGCTGGGTGTTAGGAAACCACACCGTATACTCTTGGTCATCAGGAAAGTCATGACGTGTTTTTCCTATGGAGAAATGGATCATGACGGGACCAGCAGTTGGCGTAATGGCTATGACACTAGGCTCCCAAGTAGTTGACCGTGGTTTGAGTCCTGGACCCGGTGACTTAAACTCGCGTCAGGTGCATGTGCGAGTGTGCCCAAGATCCCAGGAGGAGAATGGAGGAGAAGGGATTGCGGTGTGGCTAACTCCCCTGGGGGGATGCTGTCTCGCTTTCTGTTTCTCTGTCTCTTTCTGTCTTTCTGGTGAGTGGACACATTCTATAGCAAAAACCTCACACACACACGTACATACACACACACACACACACAACATTATGACTTTCCCGATGTCCCAAAAGAACCTGCATGCTAAGGATCGTCCTCTGCTCTCTGGACTTTCTCACACACACACACACACACACAACATTATGACTTTCCCGATGTCCCAAAAGAACCTGCATGCTAAGGATCGTCCTCTGCTCTCAGGACTTTCTTGGTCCCGAGCCCTGTTGGTTACAGTGGTCACGCCTCACTGCTCTTGTAGGGGCTTCTTACTTCCGGAGTCATCACCTTGAGACACAGAGAGCATCTTTTTGGTCTCCAAAGCAAAACCCTGCACTCACTTTCTCCTTTTGAACATCACATCAGTTTGATGCTGGAGGAGGAAGGTGGAGGAAGGAGGAGGAAGGAGGAGGAAGCAAGGGGCAGGCATGTTCCTGTGTAGGGCGGAGGAACTGGAGCGGGGATTGCTCTGTACCCATGCATGTTCAATAACAGCCAGGAATCCTGATCATCCTCTAATTAAGTCCTCTCTGGACTGTGAGAGGCACAGTACCATCCTGGAGGTGTTCCCAAAGAGGCCCCACTGTGGCTGCATCCTGCCTGCCCCATAGGCTCAGCTGATCAGAAGGGGTGCCCTTCTCAGGTAGGGTGGATTGCCAGGTGGTGCCATCAGAGAGGGGTCTAGCTTGACATAACTGATTCTTAGTAATGGGGTTCCCATTCAGATGGAATTACTGATAAGTCCATCCCGGTCTATGTCCTAGTCGAATAAAAAATTGACAGTGGTATGTTTTATAAATAAGGAGAAAATATTAATCTTCTTAAAGATTTAGAAAAATACATGTTCTTTAGCCCTTGGCTTCTGTAATTGACCTTTGTACATTAAATGATTGAAGTTCCTTAAATTATTTATCTCCTTTTCTTCCCCTTACTGTAAGCTAGTCAATCTTCTATTCCACAGAATGGAGAGAACTGTTGCTCAATTCCCACTGCTCTGACCTCCTCATGCCCTTTATAAGCACGAGTGCTGGTGTGGAGTCATGCACTAATTACTGGCCAGCCATGAGCTGGAAATAGAAAATTGCTCATCTTCATGGGATGATTTTATGTGACAATAACGCCTTGAAAAGCTAGCAGTTTATACAAGCCACAAATTTGTCCCAGAAACATTCACTTGATGGCTTTGCAGTCTTTGGTCAACTCTGAGACAGGATGGCTCACAGAAGGCATGATCCCATCTCCCAAGCCTCCGGCCACACAGGAACCTCTTAGAGCCTATTCCACCAATTACTGCAGCAGGCGGTCTTTCTATATGAACTCATCAAGTCTTCAAATCAAGTCCGTGACGTAGGTATTACTATCCTCCTCATATTACATATGAGAAAACTGAGATGCCAAGAAATCAAGAACTGTCTCAGGAACGTCACAAGCGAGAGGCAACATTGGTCATCTTGCTCCAGGGACTGAGCGTGTCATCATGGTGGCATCTCGGGAATTCCTCGAGGGAAGGAGCACTCACTAACTCGCACCCTTCACTCACAGCTGCAGAGGCGCCCTTCTCATCATTTGGCAATTAAAAGTTAGTAAATGTGCTTCTGTTGGTTAGAGTTAGAGAACATGAACATTTTCCTGTTCGTATCAAAGATTAGTGTCTTTCTTCTATCCCTTTGAGATTTTCCAATCCAGATCCTACATGTCATTGATTCCAACTGCACTTATATATGTTTAATAAATAACATTGTTGCTTAAAGGGAAGTAAATACTTAATCAAAATAATTTAGAGCTTCATGAAGTCTTTCTTTTTTTTTATTATCATCATAATCTTCTTTATATTACATTGGATTACATATAACTTTACATTGACTTCC